AAAGTCAGTCGTCTTGGCACGCATTGCAAACATCGTCCACAGTTCTATTATATCTAGTTTTCGGTGAATGTAAGTGCGCAAGTCGATTTTCATATGAATGCAGCTCCTTGGCAACTAACTATCCCTCTGTTTATCCATGAGTTTCTTCTGCTTTCGGTGTAAAAACCTGACCGGTTTGGTTGCGAGATTATCAATTCATAGTCAGGCAAGTAATTTTGTACATGAATTGGTCCTGCAATGGAAAACTACAGGCAGCTAGATTTCGATCGATCAGCCAACCAATTTGGATTATCTTTTTTTCTCTTTATCCACTCCGGTGCCTTGGAGAAATCCATTCCATTCCTTCAAAATATTTCAAATTAAACGAATATTTATTTATGGAACTAATTTACCAAAAGTGAAGCAAGTTACTCCAACCTAAAATGTGGCTTTCAAACTTTCACTAATAATTCGCTTAAATCAACGTTATGGCCGCACTCAACGTCCGCTAAATCTTCCATTGAAATTAAATCATTGTATTAAATCAAATTTTGCTACCTAAGGGACCACAGGCAAAGCAGATTGCTAATTTCGAATATTATGACGTGAAATACGAATCCAGCGCAGAGCAGTTTTAATTTGCTCATAAATTTGTCAGCTGCATAATTGAGTAAGCAAAGCAACAATGAAAGTAATAATGATGAGAATATTAAAAGCTCAATGGTGTCACAAGCGTTGTGAGACGCGCTTAAAGTCTAAATCGGGAATTTGGTCTGACGGATAGCAAAATTAAATTGTAGCAAACTCACTTGCCAGAGAGAAGAGGCAATATACTGCTCAAATATTCCACTTCAATGCTTTACGGTATGCGTATATATAGGTATACATATTTTTGTATTTCTTTTCATATTTCTGTGTTTCCTTTCTGTATTTTTATTTCCCACTTGGGCGCTTAACTGAAAGTTGCCGTGCAATGCCGAAATTTTAATTACAATCTTGAACCGGTGATAATTTTAGCGCAAAAACGGCAACAACAACAACAGCAACAGCAGCAATAGTAGTAGCAATGACAACAACACTCACAATAAAAAATACTTTGGGCAATGAGAGCTATGAAAGTAATTTAGCAAATTATAACGTTATTCGTTGAATTGAAGCACCGAAATGAAAGCAACAGAAATTATTAAAAAAATAAATATACATATAAATTCATTCGGATGTATATACGAAAGTGAAAAACGCCTAATGCCGGCTGGGTAGAGTGGTGTGGTGTATATAACGCAACAGCGGCGTGTCGACCTACAGAACGCCAAGGGCCGCCACACGCCCATCGCAGTGCTCAAAATCAACCAGACTGACTGGTGCCCGCCCGCAGTGTCGCTGCTTCTCCACTGGCTCAAGAGTACCCACAGTGAAATTACCATAATTATTCGTGCACAAAAATGAAAGAGTGCGAATGGTTATGCAGAATTTCGAGGGAATGACGGTGGAAATGTAGCGAATAATGGTGGGACTAAATACGAAATTAAAAGCGAAAAGAAAAAGTATTTATTGAAGGAAATTCTTGGAAATGAATCAATTTTTTACACAAAACCAGAAAAGGTGATGATGGAGGTGAAAAAATGAGGTAAATCTACAGCACTTTATGAGTGCTAATAACATTAAATTTTTCAATGAATCCCATCAACACTTCATGACATTTTACAGATTTTATCTAATTTTAAGCAGCTACAAGATACTTTGGAAATTATATTTTAAAATTTGATTAAACTAAAAATCCCTGAGCAAATTTCGTCGAAAACTATGTTATTGATGCTATAAAGTCATGATCCGAAAAACCATGCCAAATAAATTGCTCTGCAAATACCAAATATATTTTCAAAAAATTCCAATACATTCAGATACAGATATAAACACAAAGGCTTTTATCAGAGACAAAATACTAAAACAGCTCAAAAATAATAGCCTTTCGGCAAATTTCATACATATTTCGCAAACATCTTATTTACTTAAAAGGAAATAGAATAAAAAAAGTTAGAAAAATGTTCATAAATAATCAAATTTCATATTATGTGAACAAAGAAAGTATTATATGGCCTGCAGCAGCTAAGTATTTATTTATTATTAAATATATTTAGTTATTTTTGAAATAAGGTACGGTTAAAATTTTGGCCTCCGAGTTAGCTACCCTATTTACTGACATCAATCGCCTTAATTAGTTGACTTTCGTGTGATGATCATGTTAAAGAAGTTGGGAGAAAAATATCTTTAACTTTACGATATCTTAGAGTAACTTCGGTAAGCACTAAAAAATGTAATTAATAGTTTGACTGTCCCTTACATCACATTCTTTGAAATCGTTCACAGCCTAAATTGAACATCGTCATTAACTCTGCAACAAGATATATATTTGGTGTAAAGATATACTATCATCGATCGTCTGTACGCAATTATATTTGGCTATGATTTGCAGAATTTCTTAAACACATGGAGTTCCATTTTTATTTTTAAACGAGTTTTTCAATAAGAAGCCGGTGTATCTTAGGTTCCCTAAGAGTACACGTCCGTTAAATCTTATTCCTTCGAGGTTTAGCTATTTACATCTGATTTTTGATAATGCGGTTAACCTCTGGACTTTTATTCCATTGCCTTTAAAGAACGCGAAGCACAAAGGCAACTACAAAAAGCTTCTTATTAATTAGGTTTCGTCATAAGTTGATTAAGAAAAGAGGTTATAAACTCACATTTTTCAAAAAATACTTTGTTTGCATGTACATTAACTAGGTTAATATTTTAATTTCAATTATTACTGATATATATTATTTTGTTTCGTATCATTGTGCAAGAAAGGATATAATCTGTAATGTATATATAAACATAATATTTAATAATGCTTTCAATAAATAAAAAATAAGAAAAAATAAATATTAGTATTATACCTTTTATACTATTTAAACAATTACTTATTTTACATATATTTAAAATATTTTTATCATCAAATTTGTATAATTTTAAATCACATCCTTGAACTTACTATATTTTACATTACACATTTTTTTTGTATACATTCATAATTATATTTTATTTAAATTTATGTAATTCACTTTATTCTATTTTACATCCTTGTTACACCATTTTACATTATTTAATTTTCTTTTTCTTTATTTTATCTGGTTTAATTTATTTTAATTTAATTTTCTTACTTTATTTGAATTTACAATAAATGAAATTATTTTATTTTTCTATTTGGAATGTTTCCCATATAAATTTGTTTATCTACTTCTATTTTATTTCAACATATTTTGTTTAATTAATTCTTTTTCTTATTTTTTTATTCAAATGATTTAATTTAGTTTAATCTTTATTTATTAATTTTTTAACTAATTTTGATAATTTTAATTTAATTTTCGTATTTTTATTTTATTTAAAAATACCTTTATGTTCATTAATTTAGTTCACTCTATGTTTTTTTTTTTACTTTTATTTTATTTTAAATTATTTTTAAAGTTTTTGCTTTTATTTTATTTTGTTGTCTTATATTATTTTAATGTATCTTCTTCTTAAATTATTTAATTCTATTTTTATTTCATATAGTTTATTTAATTATTTTAGTTTTATTTAATTTTATTTTTTATATTGTTTTATTCTGTTTTAATTTATTCCATTTTGATTATTTTATTAACTTTTATTTATTTAATATTGTAAAATGTATATTTTTAAATTAACTATATTATTTCATTTTACTTTTTTATTATATTTCTTTCGTTCTAAAATTATATTTTATCGTATTATATATGTGTCAATTCGCTTATTTTCTGTTTATTAATTTTGTATAATTTTTATATAATTTCTTTTTTCTTATTCTATCTTAATTTTATATTATGCTTTTGTTAAATTTATTTTTCTTTTAATTCTAAATTATTTTATTTTAATTTGATTGTATAATTTTAATTTAATTCTGATTATAAATTATTAATATTGTTTTACTATTAATATTGGTTTTTTATTATTTAATTTCATTTTATTTAATTAATCTCTATCTTATAATTATTAAATTATGTTATTTCATTTAGCTTTGAAACGTTAAATTTTTAATTAATATATTACCGCGGCCGCGGTGGCCGAGTAATTAGCATTCCGTACTGCCATTGGGAAGGCACAGGTGCAAGGAGAAGCTTGGCGGAAATTCGCATCAGCGGTTACAAACCGCCTTATTAATGTATTATATATTGAATTGTATTGTTTTATTTTAATTGTTTCGTTTTATTTCGTGTAATTTTGTATTGTAATTATTTATTTACTGTGTTTTATTTTATTTTTCGGCTTAATTTTTACTTCAATTTGTTTTGTTTTATTTTTAATACTATTTTTTATTTTATATTTTTCTCTTTATTTCTATATTATATTTTATTTTATGTGAGGTCATTTAGGATTATTTCATTTAAATACCGTGTGTTTAATTTTATTTTTAATTAAATCGTCTTAATTTCTTTTTTTATTTTATTTTAGTTTAATATATATAATTTTTTTAATATTTTATATTTTTTTTTAGTTGTTAAATTATATTGAACATAATAGTTCTTTTATTTTTGTTTAATGTTTGTATGATATTTTTTTAATAAATTATATATTTTTTTCGTTATTTTGCTTTAATTTAATTTTTTTATTTGATTTCTTTGTTGTTTTATATAATTTTATTTTATAAAGTGTTATTATGTTAATTTATGTTGTTTTATTTTTTGTCTAATTTTTTTGTTTTTTATATTATTATATTTATTCTCTCTATATTTGTTTTTAGTATTTGCAAGGTGACCTCTAGTAGACTTTTGTTTTCGCATGAAATGTAAAATATGTAAAGAAAAAATTAACAAGTTATTTATGGAACGCACTTTTGCGTACCTTAAAAATAATTAAGAGTTCATCGTATACATATTTATAATATTAATTATACTTATCAGACACACATACTTCCTTCTGAAGGAATATAATCGTACATACACGTATATACAAAATTCACTCACCTAGTAGCATTAGCAGGAGCAGGTGCGTGCTGAAGAGCAAACCGAAACGACGTATACAATCCATCAACATGATTGCCTTTTAATTTTCGACAGCAATTTGCGTACGTTAACACTGCCAAAAACACTTGCACAGTTTCGCCCTTTACCTCTCTATACTTAAAAGCGCAAGTTTTATTTTCGGAGAAATTTCCCGTTTTTGCTTTTATTACAACCCACGCGCGTCATTGCGTAGATATATATGTTTAGTCAAGAGTTGATTATTTTCCAAATGTTTCCGCTCTCGTCCTGAAAAAAACTATTTATATCAGTTTCTAATTAAAATATTTATATTAAAAATATTTGTCTATTTACAGAAGTCTCTGACTGATGTCTAAATTTGTTTCTAAATTTGTGAATACAATTATGTTTGTTAAAATTAATTTCTTTTATTTTCAGATTTGCCCACTTGCTTAAGGATAGAGATTTTTAATTTTGGACTTTCCTAACGTCTTCGCTAGTGTCCTTCGTCCTTACAACTTTCCTTTTTAGCAGCAGCGTGGCTGTTTGATCCATGAAAGTACACTTCAGTTCTAGAGAGAATGCAATTTAGCGTTGTAATTGTAGAAAACAGCAAAATTCTCGCTTCATTTAATATTCCATTTTGTCCTTTAATCAAATGTACACTTTAATTAAGGAATAATTACAAAAAAAAAATGAAATGAGTGCTAAACGAAGGAAATGACGAGAATATGCACAACGTCAAGCATCCAAGCCAACTCTTGCGAGACCAGTAAAATACAGGAAGCAGCCACGAATGAGTAATGTTTAATGCGAAAATAGTTCGCATGCAAACAATAGGTATTTCCTGCTACCGCAAAAAGCTCACACAATAAACTGGGCCCAGAACAATAAAATGGACTGCAGCGAGAACAGCGTCGTGGATGGCAGACAATAAGAATTGGCATAAAAACGGACACAAATGGCTCAAGCTATAAGCTTCGCGTACATGGTTGTTGCTTGATGTGAGCAAGGGTTGATGCATCGTGAAGGGCAAAGTAGGAGGCGCATTAGACTGCTGTGGTGTATTTAACCTCCGATGCGTTGTCGGTTAAAGTGTAAATGTGCAGTTGTGGCAATCATATTCATACAACTTAGCCTCGACGCGTGGCTGGTTGGCTGGTTGGCTGGTGGGTGAGTAGAGAGTGGCGTGAAGAGTGTTGGCGAGAGGTTCATGGTAGGGCATTGGGCATTGGATTGCATTCGCTTGGCGATAGTTTATGCAAGAGAACAATCTATTGTTGTGTGTGATGAACAGGCGACTGCTGGCGATGACGCGATGCTGACGTTGATGGCTTGGTGAGTGAAAGCAACGGAAATCCACACCACCAATAGCGCCAACAATAAATATAATAAAAAGTGTATGTATGCATATTTACGTTATGCGGTGATCGTAGTGAAAAAAATACATGCGAACTCGTAACTGTTATTTTGGAAATCTGAAGAGGGTCTAACTTTTAATTTTTTTTTGTGGAAAAAAAAATATTCTGAATTTTTCAATACTAAAAAGTTTATTTTAATCTTTTCATTTTGTTAGTTAAGGCTTGACAACTTTTGAGGATTTATTTTTGAAACAATGTCACTTGATTGCGTTTAGTCAAACAATTTTTAAAGTTTTTTGTTAATAAATAAAAATTGTTTTTTTTTCAAAGCTATGAAGTATGTATCAGCGATCTTTTTATACAAACTCACTAAGTAATAATTTTTGCCTTCCACTGTACGTATGTATATATGTTTTTTAAAATTCATTTTTTAAGGTTTTTTTTTTCAACTACCGTTGCAAATGCTATGTTGCACATTGCATGCAGTAATTGCAACATTTTCAAGGATTCTCAAGTATTTTTTAATTCAGTACAGAGCACCAACATACACACATACAATACATACGAGCTCGTACATATTCATTAATTCACCCGTATAGGTACAAGCACATGTAATACAAAAGTCGGGCACTGCAAGGTCTTTTTAAGCTACTCAACTGCACTTGTGCAAATCTACTTGTATGTGTGTACAGATGAGCTGCTGTCTGCTGACATTACCTCAGGGTACTTATTTGCTATAGAGATTTATTTTACATTATAATATGAGTATTTAAACTTCTACTTAAAATAAAAAATGAAATGGAAAAAATGTGAGAAAATATAAGAAAAAATTGTCGGTTGGCTGAATAGTAAAAAGTGCAACGCGCAGAAAATGATGCGACAGCTACTTGTGCTTAATACTAAGTTTATAAGTATAACATAAATACTTGCATATGTATGTTTCGTATGTCGTTTTGTATGTTGCAGAATTATCCTGAGGATCATGTCAATGTCATCGACGGCTGCAGATACATATATACACCTCCCCGAGCTACATACTCATATGATTATACATCATATCACCATTGTATGTAAAATATTTAAATATACTCACTTTAACTAGAACATACTCGTATACGAGTATTTGCTGCAAATAAGCAAGT